ATGAGCTCCCAAGTGTCCCGCGTTTTTGCTTGGTTGGATCATGTATTCCTTGCCTCTCTTTCCTGAAGACGAGGAGTGATTTACAGGTCTCCAGAAAACAGAGCTTGGCTGCTTAGGAAGGAAAAACAAAAAGCCAACCTCCCCCCTCCGCTTGCTATTTCCATTCTCAGCCACCTTCCCACGAAGGGGGGTGGCCCAGGTCCCAGCCAGCCCTCGGCATCCCCTCCAGCCCTGAGCACTCTGGAGGGAGATGGAGATCCTGCAGGAGATGCAGGTCCTTCTTTTGAGATGTTCCCACCTTGAGCCATCCTCTCCAGGAAGCTCCATGTGTCCTCTGTGGGTCAGAACCCAGTCGGGGCATTTGCTGGGGATAACTCTGGCACTGCAAGGAGTCCCTCATGGCCCCGAGCATCACCTTGCCCCAGGGAGCTCCCCCTTCCCTGCTTGCCTGAAGGGGCCCCTTGTGTGACTGGGCCCCAGACAAGGCAGTGATTGTGTCTGTGTGCCCCATCGGTCAGGGGCCACGCTCCAGAGCTGCAGTGAAACTGTTAAGAAGCTGTTCAGCGGGGGCTGCCCAGGGGAGCCTGCTGCAGGGCAGGGAATGGTGTGCATTTACAGCTGCTGAGGTGGTAGGGATGCAGGAACACATGTCTGGCTCTCACAGTGCAATCTCATGGGACCCTGCCAGGCCATCCCCAGGCCTGTGATGGGATTCTGGGCTGGCCAGGCTGACATGGGACAAAGTGTGGCTGGCTCCAGGAGGCACCTCCCTGCTGTGTGGCAGCAGGTCCCCATCCGGACCTGTGTTGGGAAGGGCTGATGAAGCTGGGGGTACCACATCCTCTTCCCGAAGCTGCTGCTTTCAGCTTCTCCCGTTTTCCCCACAGCAATGTGCGATCCAGCAGCGCAGCGTGGCTGTGGTGGGTTCAAGACTAATGGGGAGTAATGGGGTGGTTCCCACCCATTGGAGGGTCCCCACTCGGGGCAAACTCACACGCTGGTGGGTGGTGGCACTAGTGTTTGAAGGTCAGGCGGCAGTGGTGGCACAGCCAGGCCCTCACTGGGGGATGAACAGGGAGATGAACAGAGCCGCTACTGTTGGGACAGCCCTAGGCCCACACTCCGCCTCAGCTTTTCAGGAGATGAGGGGGTGCCCCACTGTCCTGTTCCCACCATCCTGCTCCCTGGAAAAGTGAGTCGTCTCCTCTGCAGCTTAAAACCAGCCCTGCACCATTGAGAGCTGTGGGGATAAATCCTTGTTGTGATCCTGTTGGGTCCTGTGATAATACAAGCCAAGAGAAATGTCCTCATTATTTCCAGAATATTGAAGGCTAATAAATCCCGTCCTGCCTTACAGGATTTATTTCTCTGTTCATTGCTAGGAGACTCAGTCCCGTGTAATCCTATTGCTGCTCCAGGAGGCAGGAGGCAGCTTTCCGAAGCACAGCCCTGGCAGGGCTGCAGGAAATTGCTGCAGGCAGGAGCAGGCAGCTCCATCCAAAGCCTCTATTCCCCGCGGGGGATGGCTCCAGCTCCCCCAGTGTGCCCCCTTTCCTGGGATGTCCCACTGTACCAGAGCTGTGCCCCAGGTGTGGGATCACTGCAACACATCCCATTTTGGTGTCTGGGGCATAGCAGGGTCGATGGGGCATTAATCACCCATTAGCCAATTAACCCGGCACAGCACCACTCACCTGCTCCCCCAGTTCTATGTATGCCCACTGTGTGCCCCTTAACCTCCACTTTGTGGTCCTCCAGCACATTTCCATGCCAGGAAAAGCCAGGAAAAGCCAGGAAAAGCCAGGCTAGGCACAGGAACAACAGCAGCAGCCTGCCTGGTGCAGAGCTGGCTCGCTGGACACCAGGGACTCTCCCAGAGACAGTGACAGACAAATGAATATGGCTGGAAATTTTGCCACCAAAGTGTCTTCCATAGCAACCGTTGCTGGGGCAACCTGCATCCCAAGCAGGATCCGTCCCAAAACCCCCAACCCTGCATCCACCATAGCCAGTGGAGAATCACCGTGTGAGGCCCTCACCATACCCCACTGCCAGCAATCAGCCACAGCACCAGCCCGGCTTTCAGCATCCCCAGCGCCACAGGGCCCCTGTAATGCTCCACTTCTGATCCTATTTTCTGGCATTTCATTTTCTAAGAAGTGGGGGAAGCTGCAGGAAGGCCTGTTGTTGCCTGTCACCCAGCGGGTGCTCAGCTGCAGAAGCAGGGGGATGCAGGAGCTGTTGCCAGCAGACACATTTGGCTCCAATGCACCTAAAATGGCCATGATTGAGGATGGACAGGGGATGCTTTGATCCCTTCACAAGGAGGGTGGGAAATAAAATCCCTTAAATACCAAAGCAAGGAGCTTGTGGCTCCTTAGCACCCACCTGAAGCCATGCGGTGGCAGGATCATCCCAGGGATCCCAAGAGACACCCTTGCTGCCGGCCCAGCAGAACCTCACCAGGCTTGAGGGTTCCGAAGCAGACACAGTGCGGCCGCGTGGGATCAGCTGCAAAGCTCGGAACCCATCCCAGGGCTGCCCACGGGGCTCATTGCCTGCGCTGTCACCGCTGCCACTTGCAAGAGGAAACCACAGTCCTCTGGCTGCGCCACTGGGGTGGCTGCGGTTTGCGGTGTGACCGCAGACCCTGTGCCAGATCTCCTACCCCTGGCTGTGCCTCGATTTCCCCTTCTGCCAGCAAGGCACTGGGGATCCTGCTCCAAGCAGGGGGTGGTACGAGGAGGTTGCTGGTGCCAGGGGATTGTACTGGTGGCTCTTGGGGAGCAGAGCAAGCCTTGCTTTCTGTGGCGGCGCACGTGTTTGCAGTGTGGCCTTGGCTCCTCCGCAGCACACTGGTACAACCCAAAGGTAACCCCTGAGGTGAACACGGCCAAGAGGGAATGCCACAGCAGGAGCATGTGCACGGGGCGGAGGTGCATTCCTGGCCTGCCTCGGCACGCACCGCTCACTCCACGGCCCTGCAGCTCTGGAGCTCCTGTGTGCACCAGCGTGGCTGCTGGGCACCCCCTTGGCTCTCTGCATGTGCACAGGCCTTGCACCTTCACTGGGCACTCCCAGATCTCCCCCTAGCTCTGGGCACACACACATGAGGTCCGATGCTCCCCGCTGCGGGTGCCCACTCAGCTCTTGCACACTCTTGTGCTGGGCCACGTGTATGTCTGCAGCTTGTGCAGGTCTGTGCATGTCACACAGGTCCTGTGCCTCCACTGGAGCTCCTACGTGTCCTGCAGCTCGTCTGTGCCCATGCAGCTCACACCTCCCGCAGCTCATGCTGCTGCCTGCAGCTCAGATACGTGCCTCCACAAGCTCCCCGCTTGCCCTGCAACTGCCCTCCCAGCCCACTCCTGGCTCCATGTGCATGCCAGCAGCAGAGCTGCAGTTCATGTGGGGCAGCATCAAGCCTGGCTACCAGGGCACCTGTGGGCCACGTGTCTGGGCTGTTGGAACAGGCCAGGTGGGGAGCATGCCGGATGCTGCCGTGTGCCATGTGCCATCATGTGCCTCGTGTGCTGCACCATGCCGTGTGTGCCACATTGTGCCATGTGTGCCACACTGTCTGGTGTGCCATGCTGTGCCACAATGGACCGTTACCCTGCATCAGCAACTGGGCTGGGGTGGGACATGCAGCTGAGGGAAAGCCCTTGCACACACTTACACACACCCCCTCCACTGCACACATGACCCCCTGCCTTACACACCCATTGCACCTACACGCAACCCGTCACCTTCCCCTTAAACCCATCTGGTACTCCTCTGCTGTTGACACCCACCACCTGCCCACAACACCCATTACACACCTGCCTGTTGCACACTGTTCACACACACTTCCCCTGCTACACACCCCTTACACACACATGTATGTGCTCCGAACCCGTCACACACATGTAACACCCCAGCGCACCTGCCTGTCACATGCCCGCGTGCGTCCGTTACACTCCCACTGCACACGCATTGCACACCCGCAGTGTGCACCACCGCACCCCCTCTGCACCCTGTTTGCACGGTGGCACGCCCCCCGCCGCCGGTCCGTCCCCCCGCCGTCTCCCCCCGGTTCTGGTTCTGGTGCCGGTCGCAGTCCCCTCCCTCCTGGTCCCGGTCGCGGTCCCAGTCCCCCTCCTGCCGCCGGTACCGAGCCCCGTCCCAGTGCCCTCCCCGCCCCTCCTCACCCAAACCCCGCCCCCGCGAGGCGGGCCCAGCCAATGGGCGCGGGCGGTGCCGCCGGGCCCGGGCGGGCAAGCGCTATAATGATCCCTACGGCACCGCCGCTGCCGCCGCGCCTTTCGCCCGCCCCGCCGAGCCCGGCCCGGCCCCGGCCTTTGGCCGCCCGGCGCTAGGGCCTCACGGCCCCGCGGGAAGATGAACTACCTGGTGAGCGGGCCCGCGGGCGGGACAGCCGGGGCGGGGGGCGCTCCTTACGGAGCACGGGGGTGAGGGCTCACGGGGGGCCCCGGCACCGCGGAGCTCGGGGGAGGCCGCGTTCCGCCTCCAGAGCCCGGGCAGGGCCCCCTCCCCTCCTCAGGGCGGCCGAGCCCCCCTGGGGTGACCTTGGCCTAGCCTTGCCGCGCCGGGGCGGGGAGGCCTTGTCCGCTCGGGGCCCCACGGAGAGACCGCACCCGGACTACGTACGGGCGTCCCCACGGGGGCGGCGGGGGAGCCGGGCGGCCGGTGAGGCCCGCGGGGCGGGGAGGGAGCCGGCCGGAGCGGTCCCGCCATCCTGGGGCAGGCCGCAGCCTGCGCTGTCGCCCTGGCACCGGCTGAGGCCAGAGGGCTCCGTGCCGTGTCCCGGGCACGCTGCGGCTGCACGGTCCGTGTCCGCCATGAGGGTGGCCGTGGCGGAAGGGGCCCGGTGGCGGCTGGCGTGGGGATGGCCGCGGCTGACTCACCGCCATGGCACTTCCTCCCCGGCGGCGGCGGGAAGGGGAGGGAGAGGCGGAGGAGGGCCCCCCCCGACACCGGGGAGGTGGAGGGGCCCGTCCCCTTCCCAGCACCACCTCTGGGAAGGATGGGTTGAACTCCAGCCGGGAAGGAAAAGGCGGCTGGAGCAGAGAGCTCCAGCCGGTGCCACCCGTTCAGCAGGGGCCGCGGGGCTTCGTCCTGGTGCTGGCTCTGCCGCGATGACTCCCCGCGGCTCACCGCCCCGGCGCGGGGCTCTCTTGCAGAACGTGCTGGCCAAGGCGCTGTACGACAACGTGGCCGAGTCCCCGGACGAGCTCTCCTTCCGCAAGGGCGACATCATGACGGTGCTGGAGCGCAACACACAAGGGTTGGATGGCTGGTGGCTCTGCTCGCTCCACGGCCGGCAGGGCATCGTCCCCGGGAACCGCCTCAAGATCCTGGTGGGGATGTACGACAAGAAGCAGCAGCAGCAGCAGCAGCAAGCGCCTGGCCCTGTGCAGGGACAGGCACCACCGCAGCCATCGGTGTCCCAGTTGTCTCTGCCTTACCACCACCAAGGCGGCTTCACCCCGCTGTCACCTGCCTCGCAGTACACACCCATGCACCCTGCTTATGCCCCACAAGGGGACAACGTCTACCTGATGCCAGTCCCCACCAAGGGACAGCAGGGTTTGTACCCAGGCTCAGCACCCACTGGACAGTTTCCACCTGCCCCAGCTAAGCAGCCGCCTGCCTACCCGAAGCAGACACCTCCCCATGCCTTCCCCAGCCCCAGCCAGGAGATCTACCAGGTCCCCCCCTCACTGGGTCAAGCAGCAGAGGCGTACCCTGGGGGCTCTACCAGCCCTCCCCAGGACGTCTATCAGGTTCCCCCATCAGCCAGTCAAGCTCAAGACATCTACCAGGTACCACCGTCGTTGGACATGAGGAGCTGGGAAGGGCACAAGCCCCAAGGAAAGGTAGGATGGGGGTACTGGGGGTGGTAGTGTGATTGTGGGGCTGTCTGTGGTCCATGGTGGAAAGTGGGTGATAGGGCTACACGGCTATTAGTTGCCCACCGCTGTCTTTGGGAGAGGGCACTCCTTTTGTCTATCACGGGGGGTGTGTGGGCATCCTTGCCTGCACCACAGGCAGGAGCGGGTGTGCTGTTGGGCGTCCCTATGCTGGCTGAGGTGCTCAGGTTAGTGTCATCTACCCACCTGGGGGTGGCACAGCATTTGGCACTCGGGCCCTCTTCATCTCTAGTATAGGCTCTGCCAGGCATAGGCTGCTGGTAACCCAAGAGCTGCTTGGAAATGCCCCTTTGCCAGATCCTGCAGATATGGAGGTGGCTATGGTACCCAGTATGGCACTGTGGGAGCATGGGCAGAGGCAGGCAGCCAGTGCCAGTATGTCCCAGGCAAGCCAAGGGTCCTGCCAGTGCTTGCCAGTTGGGTTTACTGGCAGTGCAAGGGTGAGCCACCAGCCTGTCCCCAGCACAGGGACCCTGTCCAGGTCAGCCTAACGGCTGCATCCTGAACACTGGGCTCTTCCTGGCTCTGCCCCTTCCCAGGCACGTCATTCCGGGGAAGAGGAGCAAGGTGTTTTCAGTATCGTGTTTTCTGGGAAAGCTGCCCTGACTAAACCCTCAGGAAATGGCCGGTGAGGGGTGGTGGGGCTGCCAAATCACTGCCAGTGCATGGGGAGCATTTTACATGGAGGACAAGCCCGGCATCTCTGCCAGTGGCTCAGCCTTTCTTGCCCCAGGGTGCCGTGATCCTCTGGGGTTGGCTCTGTGCCGCTGGCTTGGCCCCGCGGTGCAGCAAGGCGGGAGGTGCTGAGCCATGGGCAGGAACCTGCTGTACCCGCCGGGCGCTGGCAGGTCCCTGCCCGCGGCTCCGTGCCCAACCGATGATTCCCTCCCGCACGCTGCGGCCGTGCCGCCGCTGGGCTTTGTCTCTCGCCGAGGCTCGCCGCTATAAATAACCGGTGAGATCATCCCGGTCCTGGCAGCGAAGCCTGGCCAGGCAGCGCCCTCCCGTGGGCACCGGTTTACTGGTGCCAGACAATCGCAGCACCCATCTTTCCAGCCCCACTGCTGCGTTTTGGAGTGGTGATGTGGGGTGGGAAGGCAGGCTTGGGATGCTCGGTTGTCCCACCTCACCCCTTTCCCTCTTACAGGTGCTGGTGCCCACCCGTGTGGGGCAAGTGTACATCTACGACTCACCCAAGGGCGAGCAGGATGAGTACGATTTCCCTCGTCACCTCCTCTCCACAGGCTCCCAGGAGATCTATGATGTGCCGCCTGTCCGAGGGGGTGTCCCAGGCCAGTTCAGCCAGGAGGTGAGGCTGCTCAGGGGGCAGGGAGGTGCTCTGTCACAACATGGGATCCTGATCTGGACAAATGGCACCCAGAGCTGCGCATGTCGTGAGCCTTGGTGCTGTTTTGGGCACCTCCATCCTTCCCAGTGGTCCCTGGGAGGAGGTTGGTACTCACACCATCCCTGACACGCAGTCCTGTGTCCCATCCCTCCAGGTCTATGACACCCCACCTATGGCAGTGAAGGGCCCCAATGGGCAGGACCCAGGGCAGGAGATCTATGATGTGCCCCCCAGCGTGGAGAAGAACCTGCACCAAACTGTAAGTGCTGCTGAGGATATCCCAGGTCTCTTAATAAGATACTATATAAGGGAACAATCATACCCTGGAACAACATCCCCAGGGGTCTGCTGGCCTCTCTGGCACTGTGAGGGGACAGGGCTCTAAATAATCTAATCTAGGGGATGAGGTTGGACTGGCTAATCTTTCAAGCTCTCTTCCATCCTGGCCTGCTCTAGGACTTTGTGATTCCCACCCCAAAGGGGATGTGGGAGGCCAGGGTGCTGCGGCATGGTTATGCCAGCCTTCCTGGGGGCAGGGGCATTCCTGGGGGCATGGCTGCATCTTGTGTGTACTCATGTCCTGGTGTGACCCAGGCTGCCTCTCCCCGTGATGCTGACGGTGCCTGCTGCTGTTCTTGCAGGTGTATGATGTGCCCCCCTCTGTGAGCAAGGACGTGCCCGATGGCCTGGCACGGGAGGAGACCTATGATGTGCCCCCTGCCTTCGCCAAGCAAAAAGCCTTTGACCCTTCCCGCCACCCTTTCCTGGCCCAGCAGGAGCCCTATTTGCCAGAGGATGTCTATGATGTGCCACCGGCAGCTGGGAAAGGTGCCCCTGATCCGCCGCTCTCCCACGAGATCTATGATGTGCCCCCCAGCCTCAAGAAGCTGGGCGGGTCAGCCTTCTCCTCCCAGGAGGTGTATGATGTGCCCCGGGACCTGCATGCTCCGAGCAAGGGCTCCCTGGACACAGAGGGCGAGTACATTTATGATGTCCCACCACAAGTGGATCGTGAGGCCAAGGGCGCTGATGCCAAGCGCCTCTCAGCCTCCAGCACAGGCAGCACCCGCAGCAACATCTCCACATCCTCGCTGGATGTGGTGCCCATGAAGGAGCCAGCCAAGGGAGCTGGCAAGGAGTTCTCCTTGGACTTGGATGCCGCCATGGAGACGCTGGCCAAGCTCCAGCATGGTGTTGGCGGTGCTGTCTCCTACCTCATGTCCTTCATCAGTGCCAACTGGCGCAGCCCTGAGCACATGGAGGCCAATGCCGCCAGCATCCGTGGGGCAGCTGAGGGCGTCCGCACTGCCCTCCGGGACCTGCTGGAGTTTGCCCGGGGGGCGGTGGGCAATGCTGCCCAGGCCTCTGACCGATCCCTCTACACCAAGCTCAGCAAGCAGCTGCAGAAGATGGAGGAGGTCTACCAGGCCCTGGCACGGCATGGCCAAGTGCTGGATGCTTGCCACTGGGCCCCAAGCGCCCTGGCTGGTGGCAAGCCGGGCACGGATGACTTGGAGCACTTTGTCATGCACTCGCGCGGCATTCCCGATGACACCAAGCAGTTGGCCTCCTTCCTGCATGGCAACGCCTCCCTCCTCTTCAAACGGACAAAGCCAGCGGCGGAGAGCGGCGGCCATGGGCCTCCTCACCCTTCTGACAAGGCCAGCAGTATCCAGTCACGGCCCCTGCCCTCCCCACCCAAGCTGCTGGCCCAGGAGTCACCCGACGGGCCCTATGAGAACAGCGAGAGCGGCTGGATGGAGGATTATGACTATGTCCATCTCCAGGTGAGCACAGATAGCGGAGCTGCTCCCCAAGAGTGGGTTCTGTGCCAGTGGTCCCAGGAATAGGGGGGATCAGACAGTTCTGACCGCCACAGTGCTTCTGCCCACATCTTGATTTTACTCTGTGGCTTGAGCACTAGGGAGACCAGGGTTATCCCAGGGCAGGGGAGAGTTTGGTCTCAGCAAGACTGGTGTTGCTGACCCTTATGTCATGCCCATTCCTTCCCTGCAGGGCAAGGAGGAGTTTGAGAAGACCCAGAAAGAGCTGCTGGAGAAAGGCAACATCATCCGGCAGAGCAAGGACCAGCTGGAGCACCAGCAGGTAATGGGGCAGGTGTGCAGTGCTGGGCACAGCTCTTGTGGCAGGCAGGGTCCTTGGGTCTTGCTCCCCTTGTACCCCCTGCCACTGGCCTGGACCATGGTCCCCTCTTGCATGGCTGTCCCCATGGTGGGTTCTGGCTCATCTCCTGAGCCAGTGCTGTGGAGGAGAGAGGAGCCTGGCATGGCTCTCCTGGGGCTGGCACTGTACCTTGCTGTGTCCCCTGTGGCACAGCTGTCACCCAGAGCTGGTGGCCACTGCGAGCTGTGCCCGTGGCTCCAGGCAGGGGATCAGGCACTGGCTTGATGGCTGCCGTGACTCATGCCTGTCCCTCCCATAGCTGAAGCAGTTTGAGCGGCTGGAGCAGGAGGTGACACGCCCCATTGACAACGACCTGTCCAACTGGAGCCCTCCCCAGCACTACAGCCCAGCACGGGGTGCCCTGTGTCCTGCCGATCGCCAGCTCCTCCTCTTCTACCTGGAGCAGTGCGAGGCCAACCTCACCACACTCACCAACGCTGTCGATGCCTTCTTCACTGCTGTCAGCACCAACCAGCCTCCCAAGATCTTTGTGGCCCACAGCAAGTTCATCATCCTCAGCGCCCACAAGCTCGTCTTCATTGGGGATACCCTGTCCCGCCAGGCCAAGGCCCAGGACGTCCAGCACAAGGTGATGCACTACAGCAACCTCCTCTGCGAGATGCTCAAGGAGATCGTGGTGACCACCAAGGCAGCTGCCCTCCATTACCCTTCTCCTGCTGCCTCTAAGGACATGGTGGAGCGTGTCAAGGACCTTGCCAACAGCACGCAGCAGTTCAGGATGGTGCTGGGCCAGCTGGCAGCCATGTGATGGCACAGGGCTGCTATCCCCATAGCCCCCACCCTGTTACCCAGACACACATCCCCTCCATGAGATCCCTCTCTGCCTGGTGTAAGTGGATTTGTACATAGAGACTCCCCATATGCACCGGGGGTCTGGGGCTCTGCTGTTAGAGGGGTGAGGGGCTGCAGCTGTTATCCCACTTCCTTTTTTCCCTCCCTCTGGCCATAGGCCAGGATTGGTTTTAGAGCCATGCCCTTAATGAAGCAAAGCTGGGGAGGTGGATTTATACCCACTCGTCCCTGCTGTCCTCTCTCCATACAAAACCCAGCAGCCTGAAGGCCATGGGGCCATGTCCCTGTTGAATCAGCATGGGGATGTGTCTGGCAAGTTGGGATGATGCTGTTGGCCACTCCACTGCTGGGGGGCCTCCTAAGTGGTCTCCAACAGCCAGACTTTTAATGCTGTGTAAGCCACCATATGTGGTGGGGCAGGGACAGGTTGTACTATGTGCCAGAGGCTCTGGATAAGTGTTCCCAGGGGAATAAGGGGATTATAGGGGGCTTGGGGCAGGAAGGGTCTGACCTGTATGTTCTCTGGTTTTAACTCCTGTACGAGCTGTAACCGAAACGCAAACCAAAATTGGTGCCTTTTGAATGCAGGGGAAGCTTCTGCTGGTTCCCAGAGCTATGGAGTCACAGCCCCCCAGAACTCAGCCCCCTAGCCCCCAACAGCATAAAGATTTGCCTAGAAACCCACCATCTCTTGGGTATCTGTGTTTGCCTGCTGTGGGAAGGGAACCCATTGGGAAGGCTGGGGCATCCCCCCAAAAGAGATTATAGCATATAGAGGCTATGGGTACAATGGAAAGAGGATGAGAAGGTTGGGGTGAGAATGAATGGGGGCAGTAGGGCCACCCAGCCCTGACTCCAGCGGGCTGGTGATTGCACTGGGAGTATCTCAGAGCATCTTACTGGGGGTCATGGGATCGTGGGATGGGTTTAGTATGGTCTTGAATGCAGGACATTGAAGGTCTCATGCAGCCCAAACTATTCCATGATTCTGAAGGTGGCAGTGGCCTCAGGCAAGGGGTGCAGGGGCAGTGTGACTTCTGTGAGGAAGCCCAGGTTGTCCCTGGAGCCCACAAAGATCAGGGTCAGGGTGCAGCTGGATATCCCCTTCCTGCATGGGGCTGGTGGTCCTCCAGCAGCACCACATTGCATATTAGGCCACAGAATCACAGAATAATCTGGGTTGGGAGGAACCTTCAAAGATCATCTAGTCCAACCCCCCTGCAGTGAGCATGGACATCTTTGATGGGATTAGGTTGCTCAGAACCACATCCAGCCTGGTCTTGAATGTCTCTAGGGGTGCTGCATCTAGCATGATGCAGTAATGCACTGTGTTGGTGGCTGAGGGACCTGTGGCTGCCATGCTGCACAGTGGGGCATCTGCCCTGGCGTCTACAGGCAGGAGATAGGACTCTGGTATGCCCCTGGAACCACGGAGAGGCCAGCACCCCAAGGGACCATGACACACACACAAGAGGACTCCATAGACCATAGCACCCCCCAGTCCGTGGCACCCCTGGTGCACCACAGTACTGATGGGGAACCAGAGACCAGTGCCTCACACCCTCACCACCATGTCCTTTTGTCCTCTCCCCAGGTCCTCCCACCCACTGACCCTCCACAGACCCTCTCCAGCCCAGACCGTTCCTCTCTATGTGCATGGCCCCTCCGCAGACCAGACCTGCCCCGATCTTTGTCGAGGGATCCCGGTCTCAGGCACCCTGAGACAGCTGGGGCCCTGACCGTGCCCCTCAGGGTCTTCACGAAGGCGGGGGCAGCAGAAACTGCCGGAGAAGGGGTGGGAGCAAGGGCCTTCATCAGGGCTGACGGGGACGGGAGGGTTCAACCTAGGGCCATAGGCCCGAGACCCACAGCCGCGGGCAGCGCGGTCACACCGGGATCTCCGTCCCGCCGTGCCTCACGGGACCCCCGAGCCCCAGCTCGGCCCCACCTTGGAGCAGTAGCTCCGGCGGCCCAGGGCCCGCCCCAGCACCCGCTGCAGGGACATAGCGGCTTCTGCCAGCGCAGAGCAGGGACCGCAGCGGGTTTGAACCGAGACAGGGGCGCAGCAAGAGCTGGAGGGGAGCGGGGCCCTGCCCAGCCCCTGCCCCCGCTGCCACCGCCTCCGCCGCTTTAAGGTGGCTCCGGCTGACAGGGCCGCTGCGCCTCAACACGTGTCCCTCCCTCCCTGACTAACCCCCTCTCGCCTCCAGCACCAGGGATAAAGGTCCCTTCTCCCGGCCGGGGCCCTTCCGAGCGTCCCCCGGATCCCGCCCCTGCCCTGCTCGGCCCACACTGGCCGCACCGAGTGTCTCGCGGCTGCTCTGGTGTCCCGAACCTCAGCCCGCATCCATGGACTGTATTAGCTACCAGGAAGAAAACCGACTATCCCAATCGGGAGCAGGACAGCGTCCTTGGTCCCTAGGGTGACCTTGGTTTCTGGGGTAGCCCTGCACCCATCTGTCCCTGAGGTTGGTGCTTACTCCTCCTCCCTGGCGTGCCCTTGAGTTCCCGCTGTGTCCCTGCTCTCTTCGTCCCAGAGGCTGACAGCCCGAGACACACAGGACCATTCCTCAGGAGCCCCATCGGTCCCTGCGGGGTCCCCGGTGCCCTGGGTAGGGATGCCGCCGGAGGGAACGCAGGCTGGGGTCCGGCGGTCGTGTCCAGGCGCACGGACACCCGAGCAGCTGCGGGCACACCCGGTGCTGCCGCTGCGGGCAGAGCAGGCGCTAGAGGCCAAGACCCACCGGGAGGGAGGGACCCCTGTAGCGGCTCCGGGGCCCCGTCAGCCGGAGCCACCTTAACGGGGCGGAGGCGGTGACGGCGGCGGAGGCGGGAGGAGCGGGCCAAGGGCTCTGCTCCTGTCTCCGTCTTGGCTCGCTCCAGTCGCACTTCGGTCTCGCTCTTGTCGTGGCCGAAGCCGCCATGTCGTTGCGGCGGGTGCTGGGGCTGGGGCGGGCCCTGGGCCACCGGAGCTACTGCTCCAAGGTGGGGCCGAGCAGGGGCTTGGGGGTCCCATGGGGCACGGCGGGACAGGGATCCCGGTGTGACCGCGCTGCCCTGGGCTGTGCGTGGAGGTCCCGGGCCCGTGGCCCCCAGGTCGGACCCTCGTTTCCCCCCCGCAGTCCCCGCTGCCCCCAGACTTCGTAGAGGCCCTGAGGGCCGTGGTGGGGACCCCCAACGTTTCCACGGCCATGGCGGTGCGGGAGCAGCACGGGCATGACGAGTCCATGCACGTGTAGGTACCTGGGCCGGGACCGCGGGAGAGGGTTGAGGAGGGGAAGGGGCTTGGGAGAGGGGAAGAGCCATGGGGAGGGGAAGGGTCTGGGGGGAAGAAGAACGCTGTGGATGGGAAGGGCCATGGGGAAGGGAAGGGGTTCGGAAGGGAAAGGGTCTGGGCTGGGGGCATGGGGGAGGAAGTGACGGGAGAGAGGAAGGGTCTGGGTTGGGGAAGGGTCATGGGGAGAGACATGGGCATACGGGGAGGAAGTGTCTGGACTGGGAGATGGGCCTCGGAGGGGAAGAGCAATGAGGGGGAAGGGTCTGGGGTGAGGAAGAAGGATCACGGGGAGGAGGCTGGGGAGAGGTGGAAGGGCTATGGGGTGAGGGTTGTGGAGGGGGGGCCGGTGGCAGCAATGCTTCTGTCCCCAGCTGTGCCCCTCCAGACGCCGTGGTGTGGCCGCACGCAGTGGGGCAGGTCCAGGAGCTGGCTGCTCTCTGCTACCGCTACCGTGTGCCTATGGTGCCCTTTGGCACTGGCACGGGCCTGGAGGGTGGCGTCAATGCTGTACAGGTACAGATCCCCAGACCTCTGCCCAGTCCCTGCCCAGGGCTGCCCGTGCCACCGTGCCCAGCCCCTGCGGTGCCCCATGGCAGGGCGGTGTCTGCTTTGACCTGAGCCACATGAACGCCATCATGGAGCTGAGCCTAGAGGACTTCTCCGTGTCGGTGGAGCCCGGTGTCACTCGCAAGGCCCTCAACAGCTACCTGCGTGGCACCGGGCTCTGGTTCCCTGTCGGTACCGTGGGCACTGGGGAACAGACGGAGGGCTGTCTGGGGTGGGGCGGTGGCGCTGGGGTGTTGGGGGTGCCCATGGGTGTGGTGTGATCACAAGGGTGCCGGGGTTCATCACTGAGGTGCTGTGGTTCCAGGGGTGTCCACGTGGGAGTGGGTGCCATGATCTCACAAGGTCCCAATGGTAGCAGGGGTGCACAGGGCTGGGCAGAGCACGGGGTCTCATGGGGACATCCTGTGTCCCTGTCCCCATGCCAGCTGCCCATCCCATCTCCGCTCCGTGCCATCCCATCCGCAGACCCTGGTGCGGACGCCTCGCTGTGCGGCATGGCAGCCACAGGCGCCTCAGGCACCAACGCAGTGCGCTATGGCACCATGCGCCCCAACGTGCTGAACCTGCGCGTGGTGCTGCCGGACGGGCGCCTGTTACACACCGCAGGCGCTGGGCGCCAGCCCAGGTGGGCATGGGGGGGTTCGGGCTGGGTGCGGACTGTACCAGCACCCACTCACTAGCCCAACACAGGAAGCGGGCGGCCGGCTACGACCTGACCTCACTGTTCGTGGGCTCCGAGGGCACCCTGGGCTTCCTCACGCTGGCCACGCTGCGCCTGCACCCGCTGCCTGAGGCCAGTGCCGCAACTACCATCGCCTTCCCGACTGTGCAGGCCGCCGTGGACTGCACTGTGCAGGTCCTGCAGGCTGCCGTGCCTGTGGCACGCATCGGTGGGTGCTAGGGGATGGGTCTGGCACTCAGGCTGGGGGTCTGGGTGCTCATGGCAGGGCTCATGCTGTCTTCTTCTGGTCAGAGTTCCTGGATGAGGTGATGGCGGGTGCCTGCGGCCGCTTCAGCAACATAGAGCTGCCGGTGGCCCCCACACTGCTCCTGGAGCTCCACGGCTCCCGGCATGGCCTGGCTGAGCAGCAGCAGCAGACAGGTAGGCTCAGCTGAGGGCCATGGTGGGCACAGGTGCCCAGGGGCAGTGAATGGGGAACCAGGGATGTCCTGGCATGAAGGACAGTGTTAGGTGGCCGTGGCATGGCTCTGGGGCAAGTGACAGCATACCACTACCTGGGATGGGGAGCCAGGTACATCCTGAGGCAAGGAATGAGTGCCCAGGGCCAGGGATTGGGGAACCTTGGTGTCATCAGGGTGAGGGTGGCCGGAGCTTAGGACTGGTGTTCTATGGGGGTCCCATGGATGTGGTCCCCTGTCCTAAGCCTGTGGACAGGGGACCTGGGCTGTCCTGAGGAAAGGGACAGGTTCCCAGGACCAGTGACAGGAAATAGGGCTGGGTGCCCAGGATGGGGACTGGGAGACTGGAGAGTTCCAAGGTGAAGGACGGGTACAGATGACCTCAGGCACGGGTCTGCTGAGGGGCCCAGGGGCAGGGGACGGGGGGATCATGGGTGTCCCAGGGGGTGGGGTGGATGCCCAGGGTGGGGACTGGGCTTCCTGGGGGTGCTGCGTGTCCCATCCACTTCATCCCAGTGCTCCTGGCAGAGGAGATCGTGCGGCTGAATGGCGGCTCCAGGCTGGCCTGGGCAGAAGAGCTGGAGGAACGCGAGCGCCTCTGGGCCATGCGCCACCGCGCCTGGTACGCGGCCCTGGCACTGCGGCCCGGCTGCCAGGTGAGGGACGGGCATGGGGACAATGGCACCAGCACCCCGTGGAGCTGTAGTGCTGTTGTTCTGCCCTGGGGGACAGCCCTTCATGGATGTGTGGTGCCACTGCTCTGCCCTGGGGCACAGTGCCCTGTGGAGCTGTGGTGCCACTGCTGTATCCTTCCTGGCCCAGGGCTACTCCACTGATGTCTGCGTGCCCATCTCCCGCCTGCCTGATGTGGTGGTGGAGACCAAGCGGGACCTGCAGGACTCTGGCCTCACTGGTCAGTGGGGCGGGGGGGGTGTCAGCTGGGGGACTGCTGTCCTCCCCACTGTACCCCACCTGACCCACAGTCCCCTGCAGGCCCCATGGTGGGACACGTGGGTGATGGCAACTTCCACTGCGTCCTCGTCTTTGACACCCAGGATGAGGACGAGGCGCAGCGCGTCCATGCCTTCGCTGAACGCCTGGGCAGGTGGGGATGGGGATGCTCCAGGGGGATGAGCATGAGGAGATGGACTTCCTCATCCCCTGACTTCATCATCCTGCAGGCGGGCACTGGCAGCAGGGGGGACCTGCACTGGGGAGCATGGCGTGGGTCTGGGCAAGCGGGCACTGCTGCAGGAGGAGCTGGGACAAGAGGGCCTGGACACCCTGCGCAGCATCAAGGCTGCGCTGGACCCCCACAACCTCATGAACCCTGGCAAGGTGCTTTGACAGTGGCACCAGCACCAGGCTGATACCCCTTGTGTTTCCCCAAATCCCCCACCCCTATGGGTCAAGGAACCTGAATAAACTCTGCACCCACAGCCTCCCCCCCACCCCTGTGGGTCAACGACCCTGAATAAACTGCACTCACAGCCTCCATGCACTGTGATGTTTTTTGGGGGGACAGGACACCCAATCCCATCCTCAGGGGTTCCCTGCCCTAAGCAGTGCATACCCCTACGCTGGGGGACTGGTGGGGTCTCCCTTCCCAGTGCTGTGGGGCTCTGTGGGACTGAGAGCTGTCGAGGCTGTGTGGGAGAGGTGAAGACAGGGAAGGGGTGCCACCACATGCTTCACCAAGAAAGCCAGTGAAATAAAATAACAGTGACTATTTTATTGAACATTGTTTTAATACCATATCAAAACACCTTGACTAATGAAGGAAGCTCCCCCCAGGTTCTGAACTCGTTGAAGATTTTGTTTTTTTTCCCCCTTGTTTTTAATATATAAATACAGAAAGGTTTCCCGCAGGGGCACGGCCACCAGCAGGGGAGGTCTCACCGACAAAAACACACCCGCCGCGCTGGGAGGGACAGGGATGGGATAGGCTGGGATGGGATGGGGAGGTAACTGCCAGCAACCGGCTCCATCTTGGCAGCTCTGGCAAAGCCACCCCCGTGGCCAGGGGTGGCTGGGGAGAGGCCCTCGGGGACCTCACCCGTCCCCTCCTCGCAAGGGTTTGACTCCAGGACGATGGCAAGGAGGAGTTTTGGCAAGAGGAGCCCGGAGAGGGGTGGCAGAGAGGCGGTGGGATGCTGCGGCTCTCCAGTCTCTGAGTGGTTATAGCTGAGTTAAAGAGTGACCAGTCTGTAAACATCACTGGGGCAGGGAAGCTCAAACCGAAGAACACGCCAGTCAACACGAAACTTCAGTTGTGGTTGGGTTGGGTTTTGTTTTTTCATTTTTTTTCTTCTTTTTTTACCATTTTCTCTTTTTTTTTTCTTCTTTTTTTTTCCCCTTTTTTTTTTGTTACTCATTGTAAACACTTTGATAGACAGACCCCTGCGGCTCGGCATGGGGGAGCACTGTCCCCGTTCCCAGTATGGGGCAGAGTCCCCATCTCACGCTGCTGGGCCCGGGATGGAGATCTCCAAAAGGGAGATGGAAAAAGAGGAGAAAATTCCTGTTGAGTCAGTGCAAAAACACCGAGCAGGGCCCGCGGGCAGATCCGGGCGGGAGGCTGCCGGTGAGGAATGCCTCATGCTCCGTTTGGCCAGCCGTTTTCCCCCAGCAGTTTCCCCTTTCATTTTGGGGTGAAAAGCCAAACATCATGGCAGGGTTTCAGCCAAGGCCCTCCCTGGCAGGCAGAGATCTCCTGGTGACCAGCGGCTGTGGAGGGGAGAGTGGGTTGCTCTGCTGGTCTCATACACGTCTTCTGGATGGTTCTTTATTTTAAATTGTTTCATTTAAAAAAACAGAACAAAACAAACAAACAAAAAAAAAGGCAAAAAAACCCCAACAAAACAAATCATAATAATAAAATAATAATAATAAAAAATCACTGTTGTCCCAAATGGGTTCAAGTTTCTGGGTTTTATTTTTTTGTCTTCTCGATGAATTTAAAGTCAGCCCAAAACTCCAGGCGAGGCAGGGAGGACGGGGAGAGGAGGTACAGCAGGTATAGCAAGGTGCCCTGCAAAGGCAGAGATGATCCCAGGTGAGAGCCATGGCCACCCTATCCCACTCCGACCCAACCCATCCTCCCCTTCTGGCCCAGGATTTAAAGCCATCACGGGAAAATCATAGAATCATAGAATCAACTGGGTTGGAAAGGACCTTTAAGATCATCAGATCATCATCACCCCAGCACTGCCAAGGCCACCACTAGTCCATGTCCCTGAGGACCTCATCCACACGGGTTTTGAACACTTCGAGGGATGGTGATTCCACCACTGCCCTGGGCAGCCTGTTCCAACGCCTGACCACCCTCTGGGAGAAGGAATTCCTTCCTTTCTAATACCCAGCCTAATCTGACCAGCCCACCACAGGCTCACCTTAGAGAGAGATCAGCAAGCATGCCCGGCAGGTCAATCAGAAGGATGCTCCGGGCAAGATCTGTTCACTTCAAACCATGAGTCTATACAGCTGCAGAAAGGAAAGCATGTCACCACTGTGCTGCTGAGCTGCAGGCTGTCCCCTTAGCCCCCTGCCACCCCCCGGCTGTGTCCCCTGGTCCCCGTGCGGTACCTTTTGTGATAGATGCAGAGGCAGGGCAGCCTGGCTATCGTATCCCCCTGCAGCAGCTCCTCCAGACAGATCACGCACTCGCCAGCATCCTTGGTCAGCACGTCATCTAGGAGGGGACGAGAGGGCAGTGGTGAGACATTGTCCACTGCAGCAGCTTTCCCATTCCTGGGATGCAGGGGAGCCCACGGCCAACTCTGCGGAGGCAGCCAGGATGGGGCTTCCAAAGAGCACCATGGAGTAGCGAGTGAGCATCAAGATGATGGGAGATGCAGGAGCAGTGCTCAGCCCCGTAAGCTTCCCTGCCAGTGAGGAGTGGAGGAAAGCAACCACGCTTCCAAGTGCCAGCCCAGGAGGACACACAACCCCTACGGCAGGCAGGATACCTGGCCACGATGGGTCCCTCTGGCCGCAGCACTCTGCAATGTGGGGAGGGGCCTGTGTCCCAAAGGCACAAGCAGCGAGGCTTAGCCATGCCGGGGGAGCAGAGCTGAGCAGGGCTGTGAGCTGCACCATCCCACTGGAGCCCAGCCCTTTGGCAAGCCTAGCCGAGCTGCCTGCCCATGCAGCCTGCAGTGTTTCCAGCCTGCCCAGAGCCATCCCAAGCCAGCAGGACACTGTGTCCGCTGCGCAGCCTGGCCCTTACCATTGTAGGAGAGGCGAGGTTTGCTCAGACACATGATAAAGTGCATTTCCATCTCGTCAGAAGCCACCGATTTGGAGCAAATGGGGCACTTGAAACCTGGAGGGAGAGCAGAGAGAAGAGCCCTTAGTGAGGGAAACAGAAGGATCCATCCCACATCCCGCATCCCGGCAGCGGGCAGCCCCTCACCTGCTGCCTGCATGGTGGCACTGACCCCACGCAGTGTCTGTGGGGCACCCACTCATCCTGTGCCAGCCACCAGCAGTGCCAGCATGGGGGACAGCCACCCGAGCAAGGGGACAGCCGCCTGAGAAAGGGGACAGCTGCCCGTCCCTGTGCCTGCTGCGCAGAGGGCACAAGGAGTGTGCCAAGGCAGAGCACACGTGGGCATCAGCTGCTGCCGGGCCTTAAAGGGCGAGGAGCAGCCAGGGGCATGAAGCACCCACAGCTGGCAAGGGCAGGGGCACGTCTCTGTGCCTGGATAATGATGTCCCTGCTGCCACAGCGAGCCAGGAGAGCTGCAAGGAAGGAGGTTTTGCTGTAGCGCTGCAGCAGAGCACTGACAGGCTGGAGCCATGAGACCACACTGCTGCTTTATCCAGCTTCTGGCAGGAGTGAGGTGAGTGCTCACCCCTCCAATGCCAGGCACCAGCTCCAGGAGCAAGAGACCCTGCGGGCTTGACATCCCAGCCTGGCTTTGGCCCTGCCTGGTGACTTGCACTTTTGGATGAAGCTGGCCAGATCTGCTCTGCATCCTTACTTGGGCATGAGGATGGAGCCTGGCTCGTGCCAGGGTATCCCACTGGTGCCACCACAAGCTCGAGCCACACAGACTGCCATGGCATCGTCCCCAGCGCTGCTGAGCCAGGCTGCCCCAAACCCAGGTTTACTAAACCCCAAACTCACAGGGAGCAAAACCCCACCCAGCCCTGCAGGTCACCCACCCAGGACTCCTGCTGTCCCACTGCTCCAGGCCATGCAGCTTGTCACTGCCCAGCACAGCAGAGCTCGAGCTGCTGCAGCCAAACGTGTGTGCCACCGCTGCCACCATGGCTTTGCACCAGAATATCTATCAATTCCCTGCCTGCAGAGAGGGAGAAGGTAATTTAAGGACCTGTCTTCTAAAAGCAGATCAGGTTTGACTGCAGCGCTGCTTAAGAGCTTTCTTCATATATATGCAAGGCTGCTCAGGAAAGGAGAGGAACATACACAAATTATCTAAGGATGAATCAGGTTCTTGTTTGCCATCACGTGGATGTGGCGAGTGTTTATTTTCTGCTTCTTGGAAGGGAGAAAGTGTGGGTGGCTTTAAGGGTGGCTTTAAGGGTAGGCAGCTCAGACCTCTACCATGCAAACAGCCAGGATAATTGGTCTCATTATTAGCACTGATAAACACAGATTACTTCCCAGCTTCCTGGATGAAAGGCTAGGACATGGATGCTGGCTCCTACTCCTCCAGAGGATGGCTATTCCCAGGGAGGGCACAGCAAGGATGGAAGTCACAGATAGCAGGGGGCTGGCTCTACAGGGACCTGCTAAGACAGGGAGCCCCCCCAGCAGGGTGTCACTGCAGGGACACATATTCGCTGGGGGGTTTCTGCTGTGAGTCCAGTCTTGTTTGCACCACAGCCATGCCGGCAGCCGGAGTCACTGGGGCAGCAGCCCCAACCTGCCTCACCCTCTCCAGCCTAATTTTACTCCTGACTGGTTTATACCTTGTGGCAGCAGTGCCCATTAGCTGAAATAGTTGGGTTTTTTCCTCCTCCCAAGTGTTTATCTGCCTGGTGTATTTATAGAGTGGGCTCAGATGGCCTCCCAGCCTGCCTCCTGCAAGACCCAACCAGCCTCCCCTTGTGAGACACCTTTCCTGTCACCCAGCTCCCCTGGCAGCCAGCCTGTCCCTGGCTGAACCCATCCTGGTCGAAGGAGGATGGTCTCCCAGCGCTGGGAACGCCCTGGGGCCTGGTTCCCAGTGGCAAGCCCCTGGCACAGGGCAGCTGTGAACAGCTTCCTTTGGGAAAGGTGTTCCAGCTGCCAGCTTGGTGTCAGGACAAGGCATTTGCAGAGGTGAGGTACTGTCCCCCGTGCACCACATGGGAAGACCTCGTTTTCTCCGCCCACCCCCCTTTTTTTTCTGTGCCAATGTGTTATTTTAAACAGCTGCCCCAGATCTACCGGCTTTGGCAGCATCCAAAGGGATCCAGTGAGATGCAC